CATGTAAGGTTCAACTTTCTAGGCAACCAAATAGAGGGCGTTTTTTTTTAATAAAAAAAATGGAAAATTGGAAGAAGAAAATAAACATACATTCCTCTACCTCTTAGGACATGTTTTTTTATGTTGAATGGGTTTATTTTTTGTAGGTTGAGAAAAGAATGGGTTGATTTTTTGTATTAGTTTTTGACTTTTTAGCTAATGTTTCAAATTTAACCAATATAGATAGGAGTTAAATTAATCTCTTTTTTTCTTTTTTCCCTTGAATGACACTTAGGGCATGTTTGATTAGTAGTATTAGTGGTACTATTTTATTAACCGGTTAATCAAAATGGTACTATTTCATGGGATTATTAATCAAACAAGGCCTTAGTTTGAGTTTTATTTATTGCATAAAACACATGTTTATGAGTTTGTATAACATTTTGATAACATTCGAATTTATTAGTTTCACTACAAGAAATTACACTTTTGGCGACTACTTTTGGCGACGACGTCAATTTTTCATAGCCAAAAGTGTATTTTTGGCGACACAGTGATGAATTTCGTTGGTAAAAGTAAACCTTTACCGACGCAATTTATTGCCGTCGCTAAAAAAGGATAACATTCACTAGGCGCCAAAATTATTGCTTGGTGCCAAAATTTCATAAATTTTAGCCACGATGCTTATTTTTTAGCAACACAACGAGCGTTGCTATTAGTGTGCTTACTTTTGGCGACGACATATTGGCGTGGGCAAAGAGTTAAACATTTAGCGACGATAACACTATTCGTTGGTAAAAGTTTTACTAGTGAAACGAGATAATTTAGTGATTTATACTTTTATTATAACTTTTGAAAAAGTTTAAAATATTCTAGTTATTGAATTGTAAAATTAAAGTGATCATTGAATTAAATTACAAAATGAACCTATCAAACGTAAACACACTCTTAAGTTGAGATGACTAATTTGAGATAATTTAAACTTTTCCAAAGAATGTGGTTAGATTATCAATTTTAATATGTTTGGTTTTATTTTCAGAAATTAGTTTCAAAATTTTTTTTCCAAAAAATTAAAAAAAAAAGGGTGAAATGTACAACTGAAAAAAAAAAATAGTGTCAAAATGAAAATTTCAAATGCCAAACACTAAAAAATTATATAAAAATAAAATAAAATTTCACGGCACAATTTCTATCGTGAATAGTATGATAAAAAATAAATAAAAAATACCAAAGTAATACACGTTGGCACCAATAACCAAAAAAAAATATGTTAAAAAAATAAATAAATCTATCAAAATACACCTAACTCTTTGTCTTCTAATCATAATGGAAAATAGAAAATAGCAGGAGAAGAAAGAGGAGACGAGAGGGAGAGTGGAAAGGAGCAAAACCGAGAAGAGATGGAGAAAAAAGAGGGTTCGAATGAGCAAAACCGCCAGACAAGGGTTTCAATCTCTCTCGATATTGCATTCTCTACCCAATTTTTTCTTTGAATTCGAAGATTTGTATTCCGACTTCGATTAATTAGATGTTTTGTTGTTTTTGTGAAGTGAAGGTACATTTTTGGCTAATAATGTGTCTTTTAATTGAGATTTCATTCTATCTTTGAAGGGCTACTATTAATTTGTGACTCTTTCACTTATTGACTATTTGTGTTTAATTATTTTGGTTGCATATGTTATATTGGAAGCGAAGAGATCATCAAAATTTATTTGGATATGGATTTATGTTTTAAATTTAATCATCAATTATATTTGGTTGTTGATTGCCATGTTGAAATAACTTATGATTAAATTAATTTTCAAGATCTCATTTCTTTTGAGACTTAAACCACAAATTTCTTCTTTTTTAAAATATCTTTTTATACAGATTCAAAGCCTGAGCAAATGCAAGCGATCTCATATTTAAAATGTTAGGTTTTTTTTGAATAATTTAAATATTTCTATTCTTTATGTTTGTCCGTTCAATTTTAATGTATTTTCAAACCTATTTATGTTTAATGAATCAACATAAAATTAAAGAAAAAAAATTATTTTATTTTAATTCATTATATTGTGTGGGATAATTAACATAATATCTCTTATTGATTGAAAAAAAAATGAAAAAAAAGCATTCTTTTATTTAATGTTAGTTATTTTGATTAATTATAATTTTAGTATGCTTTTGTTACTCCACTTTTGGTTGTCTTAACTAACTCTTATTATCTATTTGTTATGCGATGATTTAAGATGAAAAAGGTCAAAAATAATAAATAAACAACAAGATAAGTGTTCGCATTTATTAGATAAATGTTTGCTAATAAAATAATTGATTTGTATTTTTTTTTTTTAAATGTGATGTTAAAATTTTTAAATTAAATTTTCTATGATATCTTTAGCTCCTTATCTTTATCAAAAAAAATTAAATTTGAATTTAAACACTAAACCTCCAAAACACATTATCTTTAAATTAAGTTTCCATATAAATTTGAACAACCACCAATAAAATCCAACATTGGAAACAAACCCTCAACAACATCCTTCTTTTTTTCTTTTTTTTTTTTAACGCAGTGGTAGTCATAAAAATTTCTTTAAGGTATTAATATTTTATATCTTCTAACTCCAATAATTTATTTATTTTTCCTCTCCAGGAAAGATTATAATATACATAGAGCTTTGCAAGCAATATCTCGAGGTTAATCATTTTTTTAATTGAAATCTATTTGAAGTCATAAAATTTCATGTAATTTTTTTTTCATCTTTATTCTATTGTATTATTTAATGATAGATCTTTTCAAGCAACATGTTCAAATTCATATAAATTTACATAGGGTCTATATATAGTTTTACATAAAATCTACTTAGGTCTATCAACTTTTTCATGCAATTGCTCTAGATTTATAGATATTCGAATCACTACAAGAAATTACACTTTTGGCGACGACGTCAATTTTTCATAGCCAAAAGTGTATTTTTGGCGACACAGTGATGAATTTCGTTGGTAAAAGTAAACCTTTACCGACGCAATTTATTGCCGTCACTAAAAAAGGATAACATTCACTAGGCGCCAAAATTATTGCTTGGCGCCAAAATTTCGAAAATTTTAGCTACGATGCTTATTTTTTAGCAACACAACGAGCGTTGCTATTAGTGTGCTTACTTTTGGCGACGACATATTGGCGTGGGCAAAGAGTTAAACATTTAGCGACGATAACACTATTCGTTGGTAAAAGTTTTACTAGTGAAACGAGATGATTTAGTGATTTATGCTTTTATTATAACTTTTGAAAAAGTTTTAAATATTCTAGTTATTGAATTGTAAAATTAAAGTGATCATTGAATTAAATAACAAAATGAACCTATCAAACGTAAACACACTCTTAAGTTGAGATGACTAATTTGAGATAATTTAAACTTTTCCAAAGAATGTGGTTAGATTATCAATTTTAATATGTTTGGTTTTATTTTCAGAAATTAGTTTCAAAATTTTTTTTCCAAAAAATTAAAAAAAAAGGGTGAAATGTACAACTGAAAAAAAAAAATAGTGTCAAAATGAAAATTTCAAATGCCAAACACTAAAAAATTATATAAAAATAAAATAAAATTTCACGGCACAATTTCTGTCGTGAATAGTATGATAAAAAATAAATAAAAAATACCAAAGTAATACACGTTGGCACCAATAACCAAAAAAAAATATGTTAAAAAAATAAATAAATCTATCAAAATACACCTAACTCTTTGTCTTCTAATCATAATGGAAAATAGAAAATAGCAGGAGAAGAAAGAGGAGACGAGAGGGAGAGTGGAAAGGAGCAAAACCGAGAAGAGATGGAGAAAAAAGAGGGTTCGAATGAGCAAAACCGCCAGACAAGGGTTTCAATCTCTCTCGATATTGCATTCTCTACCCAATTTTTTCTTTGAATTCAAAGATTTGTATTCCGACTTCGATTAATTAGATGTTTTGTTGTTTTTGTGAAGTGAAGGTACACTCTCTGCTTAATGTTTTAATGTTGATTTTTGGGATTTTTTTTAAAGAACGATATGAGTTTTCTGAGGTTTCATATTAGGGCTCGGGTTCTGAGATCTTTCGGCGCATTTTTATTTTCTGATACTTTTTTGAGTTTGAGATTTCTTGATGCTTTGAGACGATTAGTTGTTTTTGAATGGGACACTTGTGCACCTCATTTTTTTCTATTGGGTTTATCATTATGTTGGCATTTTGTGAATGATTTGTTAGGTATATGGGGTGAAGATTTAATCTGGAGAGTTTCTGGGTTGAGGAATTGTGATTTTTAAATTTAGGTTTTAATGATTTTAGGACTTGCAATTTGGGTATACCAACACAACAAAAATAAGTGTGAATCATCAAATTACTCCTCGAAAAGATGATTGACTATTGAAATCAATGAAGACCCTATCACTTGATTTGATACTTCACAATTGTGTTTTTGGTTTTTATTGAAAAAAATATAAATTATGGTTGTGCTGTTAAAATTTTTGTTCGTTTAGAACATGTATGATACGGGAAAGGTATATTGAAATTGAAACAAAATGTGTATTTATATCTGTGTATTTAGAACATGTGTATTTGTTCGTTTTGTGTGATTTTGAACTCAGATTTCTATAAATTGAGTTTTTTTTTTTTAGATGATTGAACACAAAACAACTCGCTCTCTGGAGTTTCAAGAATTTTATCTGTGTAAATTGGGTCTTTAGTCACTTTATTACAGTTAAATTGTTAAATAAGTTTGATAATATAAATATTGACATGTAGTTTTAAATGTTAACTTCAGAGTATTTAGAATGAAATTTATTTTGACCACTCACTTTCTTAATATTAAGTATGAGGTTGTTTCTTTTATATTCTAAGAAATTGCTATTACAATTCTTTGATATGTTACATTCTCTTGTTGTGTGTATTGTGTTTGCCTTTGGGTGTTGCTACTGGAAGATGATCAGAGGAGGCTTTCAAAACAGAGCTTGCTGTGCATCTGCTAGTGCTGTTGGAGATCTATTCCTGCTAGTTGCTGCTGCTGCCAGTTGCTGCTGCAAAGCTATTTTAGGTGCTGATTTTTGCTGCTGGTTTTTTTCTTGGCTTTGGTTGGTTGCTCACCAACTCTTGATGGCGTGCTAGCAAAGGATTGGACGAGCATATTGGTGCTAACCTAATTGGGATTGGTATGTCTCACTATGATACTTTTTGCACTCATCTCTTTTCCTTTCTTGATGTAATGAGTTCTTTGTTCATCAATAAAAGTTTTATTTTGCCAATCTAAAAAAAAAAGAAAAAGTAAGGACCTAAAACAGTTAAATATTGTTTTAGTTTGTGAGAAATTGATTTTAGGTTTTTATACTTATAATTGGTCTGTTATAATTTGTAGAATCTATAATAATTTATATTTTAATTTAAAACAGTGGTTAATTACAATTTGGTTGGGTGTAAATGTCTAGCATTGGTCTATACTGTTTGGGTGCTTAACTGGCACTTATTGAAACACTTCTTACTTGTATTACATATCTTTTGTAAGTTAACATGATGATTGAATAGAACATAAGATAGCATGGGTGTTACTGTCATTCAATGCCTTTTGTTATTGTGATACATTCTTTCCTATAATCAAATAAATGTTGTGACTTTTTTATTCATATACTCGTGCTTATATTGACTATAAAATTATTATCCAATTTATTGCTATTATTCTATATACTTAATTTTTTGTCCAGGTGTATATTCTCCTATTGTTTATTGTCATTTTTATGATAATATGTGCACTAAATATTATGTTCATTATTTTGTATCATTTATTTCACTGCTACTCATTTGCTACAAGCTGCACTTAAAAAAGTAATAGGCTAGGAAACATCACAACCTGGTTCATTGGTGGCTTTTGATCGTCTTAGATTTGATTTCAACTTCCACCGGCCACTTTTGGATAATGAGCTCACGGAGATTGAAGGACTGATCAATAGCTGGATTGAGGACTCTACACTTCTGCAAACTAAAGTGATGCCTCTAACTGATGATAAAAAAGCTGGGGCTATTGCAATGTTCGGAGAAAAATATGGAGAACAGGTTCAAGTTTCTATAAAATCTTTTCTTTTGTACTTCTGAGTTCTGACAGAAAATGGTGTTAAAATATACGCTCATTTCACAACACATAAATGTTGTAACTTATGGAACATACTTTTACATAGGATTTGATTTTTCCTTCAAATACTGTGATTATTTTAGGTACGTGTTGTAGAGGTTCTGGGTGTATCCATGGAACTATGTGGTGGCACTCATGTCAGCAGTACTTCTGAAATACGTGGCTTGAAAATAATCTCAGAACAGGGGATTGCATCTGGAATCAGATGTATAGAAGCCGTTGCTGGTGATGCTTTTATCGAATGCTAGAGATGACTACATGAAACAGCTCTGCTCCACTCTCAAAGTATGTTTTCTTCTGTAATCTTTTTGCTAAATAAAGAACACCTGATTGTTTCCAATGTTTTCATTATTAAAATTCATTCTGCAAATGTGAAAGCTGAAGATGTACCAGCCAGGGTAGAAACACTATTGGAGGAATTGCGAATGGCAAGAAATGAAATTTCAGCTATTCATGCTAAAGCAGTAGTTCACAGAGGCTCAATCATCGCAAACAATGTATTGCTTGTGGGAAATTCTAAAAATATCAGGTATTAAATTAACTTTTGTAGTTCCATCTATTTTAAAGAGTAGAAATTTGTGACCTAGTTGAGGCAGGTTTATAACTGATGCTGAAAAAGCTAGGGCTATTGCAATGTTCGGAGAAAAATATGGAGAACAGGTGCAAGTTTCTATAAAATCTTTTCTTTTGTACTTTTGAGTTCTGACAGAAAATGGTGTTAAAATTAGTGACAGCCTAGCAACTTCATATATTTGGTATAATTTAAGTCTGTAAGTTTTGTCATTGATATGCAAATTGAAAAATAATGATGTTAAGTAAAAGGATAAAAATGATTTATACCATTCTAAAACTTAAATTAGTAGATATCGGACAAATATGCTGTTTTCATATATACTTTTATGATTTTGAATGATCTGTCATGCTTTAAGGCTTTTGCCTTTTCAAAATTGGTGAGGAGAGTACATCACATATTTATTTATTTCATTTTATTGTGTATGTTTTTCAGTTGCCACTTTGCTGCTGATGGACATTCACTAAACAAGTGTTTTAATTCTTAAAAATTGATGGGATTTTGCTTATAGATTATATATAAGGGTTAGAATTTCATTTCAGTACATTATTTTAGTTAGCTTGGAAATAGAAACATGAGGAAAGCAAAAAAAAAAATGTTTGTAAACAAAAACCAAAACCTACCTTAATGGATAATAGGTGTGTTTTAATATTTCAAATAGGTGTGTTTTAATATTTCAAATGAATTTTTATTGGTGGAGATTCATTGGTGGAATCTTTTGGGTAGAATTATGGATGGCAATTAAATCCGAACCCAATGGAAACCTACCCTGCCCCGCTATTATTAGAGCGGATTTCCCCAAATTTGCCCCCAATGATTAACTGTTTTTCTTCTCTCATTCAATATTAACAATACTTGTCTTGAGGCTTTCTTAGGCGTTGGGGGTTGTTTTACCCACTCAGTTTTTCCTATTAATATAGTTTGTTATAGAATGTAAGATATTCTTTTAAAAAAGGGAAAAAAAGAGATAAAAAGAAAGGGAATGGAGCGCTAGGTGTACCAATATGGATGTGACAGTTGGGCATTTGGGATGACGCGAGTGCTATGGGTTTGATTGATAAAATGGGACAAAGTTCTTCCAAGAAGATGGGAGATTACCAACACAAGAAGCTGCCTGTGATTAATGTCCAAAACAAATGTATTGCTAGCATTCCTTTTAAAAATTTCTTGGTTTACATCTCCTTAGAGTAGTTGATATGTCAGGGATTCTTACATACAATGGGCATATATAAAGGACTTCCCCTAAGGATTTTCTTCTTTGATGTTTACACACAGGTTATATCAGGAAAAGACCAGGAACAGTTTGGTTTTCCTGATATCTTTTACCAGAATGTTGATCATTTTGGGTGGGGAATGCATTATTGTCCCAGCAGCTGCCTATTCCTTTTGATCGATCACATGAGTTGAAATCAATCCAGCTGCTCTGTAAATTTCTACGGATGGTGTAAAGAGGGCAGAGCTTCTTAAGATCAAATTTTCCTTGCAGATGGTACTAATGCTGCAAAATTGATTCATCTATATTTCAAATTTAATTTTTCATCACATGCCAGCTTCTTTATCATTCTAAACTATAGGCACCTTACATGCTCAGAAGATTCAGATGCTGATCTCAAAATTGTTTATACTTCCATAAATAATTGAATTGTTAGAAGTGTTGTAGATTGTGAATATGACTTATCAATGTTTTTGGAAGAACATTGATCTAGGGTTCAAGTCTTTGCGGAATCTGTTTTATTCATTCTTTGAAACGTGGCAAAACGATGCAACATGTAGTACTCAATTTCTTAGAATTCTACTTCCTGATTGATTTCTAGTTTCCATTAAAAAGACAATATTGAAGTGATGAGCTGATAGTCTCTTGCAAGAACTGAACTGTCAAGGGTCGCCCCACTCCTTGACAGTTCCAAGGGAGGATCAGCATGAGGTGTGTGGCTGTTTTGGGCCAGTCACCACTGCCCTTTCATTATTCTCTCCATCCTTCATGTTTGATAAGCTTATTGAACATTTACTTCCAAGTACATAACATAAGGTCTTGCTAGCAGTCCTTCAATTAACCCCGCATTTGTTTCTCTTCTTTACAGAGCTTGCTGAAGAGGCAAATAGGCTTGTGAACTAAGGTTGTCTCTTCTCTTTTTTTGTGTTATCTTGTTGTTGCACACTGTAGTATTAAAGTAGCTGGATAGACTATTGTTTTTCACAGTGTTGTCTTTATTTTGGTTGCATTCATTGTATAAACTAACAAATCACAGCAGCATTATATGATTACTCTTCAATGCCCTTAAAGTTTATATTTGATGTAACAGGCATGAGTTAAAGACAAACCTTCTATAATCATGTTGTGTAGTCATAACATATGAGTTAATTTAAAGGTTTGAACTGTCAGATGGTTAGGTTTCCTGATCAGGCACTTTGATAATACCAATTTGTAAATGGCATTTTCAAAAAAGGTTCCAGATATGACTATTTATCTTGTTTAACCAATTTGTCCTTGTTTATTCATGCATGAACTTCATTTTAGGCACAATTTGTAAAAATACTAAGATATCTAACCATACTTAATGATGCTAATACATAGACATTTCTTCATGTTATATCACTTATCTCTAACTACTTTAAAGGCTAACATGACTTTGATTTCTGCAGTGGAAACTCTTGGTGAAATAGCTAAACAACTGGGTAAAAAAGGCTGGAATTTCAATTTGAAACATTATGACAAAAACTTGAACTGGCAAACACCAATACTGGACTCCTCCCTTATGTATGACTGTACTGTCAATTGCACCTGCCTTTCTGATGATGAATGTCACATCAGTGCCATGTATGTTCCTTTTTATGTTTTTAAATATACTTATTATTCAACTCAATTTTTTGCTTAAAATGTTATTTATGATTTTTTTATTTTATTTATTTTTAAATTAGGAGGCAATGATGTTTGAATACTAGCCTATGCTCTGTATGTTAAACTTATTAATGTCAGTTGAAAGTCCAAATTCTGTTTTGTATAGATGAAAAAAAGAGTAATGTGCTGAGAAAACCCTGGTATTGTTCTGTCACTTCTTATTTACATGACGCAAGCGGTTGCCATGAACATCTATTCATATATTGCTAATTACTAGGGTTCTTGGGAAAATTAAGGTCGTATTTTGATGTCCCACAGAAAGGGAATGACTGCCAACAGTACTCATAGTAATTCAAAGTGGAAATCTGATATTTTGAGTATGCAAAGTGACAAGAATAAATGGCAGCCAATCTACAAATGAAATTCAAAATAACGAATATTGTCATGTACTAAAAGAACATAAATATGATCACTTTCAAGATAAATGAGCGAATTTTCTGTTCTTCATTAGGTGACCTCATTTTAGTAACAGTTGATTGAACTTTCACTTCTCATACCATAAAATGTTTGGTAGGTGCGTTCAAATTCAATTCAGAAATGTTAAATGTCCAACACACCAGAGGCACCAATACACATCTATAATTAGGCATGTAAATCTGCAGGATGTATGTACTCTAATTACTTGGAGTTTTTCATGTTTTGTGCTTTTAATTATTTGTTGCTATACATTATTGGTTTTTGAAAAATTGAATTCTGTAATTATTTATTTTCATGGAGATGACTCTCTTAGGTAATATATTGTATACAAATCTCTAATTCAAGAATGAATAATTGATATCAACTTTAGGTGATTTAATATCAATGTTATTTGTTTGTAATAGTAGTGCCTGAGAGTTGCCTCTTGTAAATATGTAAATCTTATAAAAAAATATATATGATTTTCAATTTTTTTTGCCGCTACAAATTTGTCGTTGCCAAAAAGTAAAGCTTTCTCAACAAACAACTTGTCGGTAAATGTATAGCCAAAAGTTTTTTTTGCCCACTCATATTGTGTTGCTAAAAGTGTATTTTTTGCCAATGCCAATTTGTCGTTGCCAAAATTAAAGCTTTAGCGACAAACAAATCGTCGGCAAATTGCAACATTTACCGACGGAAATGTGTCGCTAAAAGTTTATTTTTGCCGATGCATATTTTGTTGTCAAAAGTATATTTTTTGCCCATGCAAATTTGTGTTGCGAAAAGTGCCACATAATCATCATATTTGAATGACTTTTACCGACGCAAGGTAAATTACCGACGATGGATGAAGGCTTTTATCGACGACTATGTTCGTCGCTAAAGGCATTACTTTTACCAACGCAACGATAATTTCATTGGCAAAAACTTTTATCGACTCACTTTTGCCTACGGGTTGCCAACGTAGCTTTGTGCGTCGGCAAAACTCTTTGCCAACGAATTTTCCCTTTTAGCAACATATTTTGTTGCGTTGCGAAAAATGCAATTTCTTGTAATGTTTGTATAGCATTTTGATAACATTTGAATTTTATTAGTTTGTAAAATTATTCTATTAGGAGTTAAATTAATCTATTATTAGTTTGAGTTTTATTAATTTTATTAGGAGTTAAATTAATTAATTTATTTTTTCTTCTTTTCTCCTTGAATGACGCTTAGGGCATGTTTGATTAGTAGTATTAGTGGTACTATTTTATTAACCTGTTAATCAAAGTGGTACTATTTCATGGGATTATTAATCAAACAAGGCCTTAGTTTGAGTTTTATTTATTGCATAAAACACCTGTTTATTAGTTTGTATAACATTTTGATAACATTCGGATTTATTAGTTTGTATAGCATTTTGATAACATTTGAATTTGATTTACAAATAATGGGAAAAAGGGAAACCTGAGTTTTGATTTTTCTTCAGTATTTATATTTCTATCTTGGAATACAAGTTCATAATTGTATTTTATGTATGCATGTATGTATGTGATATTGTTTCTTTTATTAATTTTATTTTATTTTATTTTTTGTGGCTTTTTAAATAGAGAGAATGGGTTGATTTTTTGTGCTAGTTTTTGGCTATTTAGCTAATTTTCCTATTCGCAAACAAATTTAACCAAAATAGATAGGAGTTAAATTAATCGTTTTTTTTTTCTTTTCTCCTTGAATGACACTTAGGGCATGTTTGATTAGTAGTATTAGTGGTACTATTTTATTAACCTGTTAATCAAAGGAGGTTACCCGTTTATTAGTTTGTATAGCATTTTGATAACATTCAAATTTGATTTACAAATAACCTATACGATTTATTAGTTTGTAATGCATGATAATTTCATTTGGAATGCTATTAAATGTCATTCTCAATATACACAACCAACCAAGCATTAATTAGTAGATAACAATGGGGAAAATGGAAACTTAGGCTTTGATCTTTATATTTCTATCTTTAGATATCTTTTGTTTTAATAATCTTTCAAAATATTAATGAATGTTACCAGCATGTTTGGATGTCTTTAATTTTTGGATATCTTCAATAATCTTCAATAATCTTTTGTTTCAATAATATTGACAGCAGGTTTGAAACATTGTGTCTGAAGCGTTGGGGACTTCCTTAAGACCTTTCATATCGAAACAAGGTACAGATGTGGTAAGTATGGAAACCTGGGCTTTGTTATTCTGTGATTATTTCTTTTGTTGGTTCTGTAGGAAATTTATAAGTATGGTTTTTATTTATTTTTATTTTTTTTATTTTGGGTGGGTGGGGTAGGGGAAATTTATATGTTTTATTTATTTATTAACATTTTGTCTCAGTTAAATTTAAACCACATTTCATATTTTTCTATTTCAACGAAAAGACCCTTATAGAATTAATGAGTTAATTTTTTAAATTCATACTGTGGTATCATACTGTTTGATTTCTTAAATTCATACTTTGAATTGAATTTGTGGTATTATATACTGTTCAAGTTTTAATTAATCTCATTAGCAAAAGTTTTTGTATTTTCTTTGTTATCTGATAGGTTGTTGAGAGTTTCATTATCAAAACTCTTTGATTTATAAATTGATTGATTTCTTTGTTGTTTTCTCTCATGGATTAATCAATAAATTTGAAGTTTTTGTGTCAAACAATTTTTAGGGATTAATCAATAAATCAGACAGTTTTTGGCCAATGAAGGGTTGTTTTTGGCCAATAATGGCCTCCATATGTGTTTGTGTTTGTGTTTGTGTTTCTAAGGGTTTGAAAAATATTCTATCCTGTTTGGTAATAAACCTAGGAAATCTTTTATTTTATTTTATTTATCAGCTCAGGAAATCGTACAGTTTCATTACATTTAAAAAAAAAAAACAGTTTGGTTTGTATACACTATATTGGTTTCTATTGTTTGTTTCATGTCTTAGATGTGTTCCAGGTCTTACCTTTTCTATAAGATGTGTTCCAGGTCATAGATAGAATGAGTTGGATCTCAAGTTCTAGAATTAATTAGCTTCGTTACAGGAATTTACCCAATTTTGATTTGAGTCTGATTGTGTTTGGAAGTGCCATTAAGACCTATGGTAAATATAACATATCTTTTGGGATTCGCTTTATTTATTGTTGTTCATGGTTAAGACATTTTCCTATGCTAAACATAAGATATCTTTGGGGATTTACATGGTTTCAATTGCCTCATCAATGCCTAAAGTAGTGTTGTAACAACCCTCATTTCAACTTAGTCATACTTGCGTACATTTATGAATGATCTTGTTTTGGTATGTGCATTGCAAATCTTGTCTTGTTTTGCTCGAATGTTGGTCGCGTGCTTTGTTCTTGCCTGGTGTGTTGTCGAGGTCATCTTAAGCCTAGACACCTTCGAAACCTTTTCCACTTAGAACTGTCGTGGAATCCCTTCGGTTGACCTCCATCTCCACCCTGGCATATTGGCTGAGATGTCACCACCTAGGCCGAGGCGCGCGTCGCCTAGGCCGAGATGTGCATCATCTAGGCCGAGATGTTGATATCTAGGCGTTCTAGATCCTTGATCCTTGCACTAGCGATTTTGTTCCTGGAATGGTATGACCTAGACCGAGGTGTGGCACATCTAGGCCAAGGTGTGGCACAGCTTAGTCGAGTGTTGTCCCTCCAAGCCGATGTCCTTTCCACTTGCTTGCCGAAGCTTTGCCCTTAGCCGAGATCATCACTTGCCGGAGTACTCTTGCTGTTTAGCTTGTTGAATACACTTTGTCTTGGTCTTGTCTAATCAGTCAGTCACCTTTTCGAGTAGAGCCAACCAGCCGGTGCCACGTGTCCCTGCAGAGGGATTAAGTCAGTGACTGTCGGGAGAAACATATCATTTTGTATCAAATCTTGCCTTTTAGAGAGAGAAACTCTAGGAAGAAGAAGGAGAAGTTTGAGCAAGAGAGAGTGAACTTCCAAGCTTGATCGTTGGAGCTTAAACCGTTAGATTCGAGTTTTGAGGTTAGAATCTTAACCTACTCTTGTTGTTCTTGTTGATCATCTAGCTGCATTGCACGATCAAACCTGTTCGGTACGTCATGCGCTGATTTAAAGATGGAGAAAACAGTTTTCATGTATTCTTGAAGAAAAGCCTCGTTTGATCCGTAAGTTTACATTAAGGCTCATGTTTTTGTGTTTGTTTTGATAAGATCCTTGAGTATGGGTACCCAGGTCCATGTTTTTGAATTCATAGCATGAAATCTCAGCTTTTGTAATAACAACTTTTGATCTTTGCATTCATCTTCCTCATGTTCATGTTCTTCATGTTCTTTATGCTCATGCTCATGCTCTTCACGTTTATCAAGAGGGAAACCCAGATTTTCTCGATTTCGCTTTTGAATGTGGCCGTCGGGGCCACACCTCGGCAAGGAGGTGTGGGACCGCGACCTAGACCTGGTAGTTACCCGGCTTGTTTTCCAGAAATAAGAAACGGTGTTTTGATTTGATTTGACTTAGTTTTTGAAGAATGCCGAAGTCATTTGCATGCATGCTAGACTTGCTTTGAGTAGTTCATTTAATAGACTTTGCCATGTGTTTGTAGGACTGGGACTTTCCTTGGCCCCGACGTTTGACGAACTATGTGATTGGTATTTTTAATAAAGCTATGTTATATAAAGACTTTGCTTTGCTTTGTTTTGAAAGTATTTGTTAAGCATGAATAATTGTCCCTATTTTGTATATCAAGCATTATCTTGTTTTGATGATCTTCTCGGAAAGTCCCTTGTGCTAGAGGACTCTAAACTTTCGCAGCACATCCCGTTTTGAAAGTCCCTTGTGCTGGAGGACTCTAAACCTTTGCAGCACATCTTATCTTGAAGTCCCTTGTGCTGGAGGACTCTAAACTTTCGCAGCACATCTCGTTTGAAAGGCCCTTGTGCTGGAGGACTCTAAACTTTCGCAGCACTCTCGTGTTAGGAGGCTACGGGCCTTTGTAACATAGGTCCTTTGTGCTAGAGGACTCTAAACTTTTGTAGCACCCTTGTTTGAGATATCTCCCTTGTTTTGTTTTGTTTTGCCACTGACCGTTTACCGCGTGGGTTTGTTTGTCCGGAATGTCATCATTTGTAATATGTTGATGCTAGTAAGCATCCCTTGAAGGTTTGAAGATTTGTTAGATGGGCGAGGACCATCCCTTGTTATTTAAAGTTTTTGACTTGTATTGTTTGAGAGGACTCGGCTATTATTTATGCAAACCCCTTTATTATTTATACCATTCACTGAGTATCCAAGCTCACCCTCTCTATATATATGTAGGTGATGAGCAGGAAGGCGTTGACGCCTAGATGTGACTCGCGAGCTTGTTTTGGATTTTTGTCATGCCGGCTTGACTTGTAATTATGTCGGCAGTCTTGAAAATCATGCTTCTCGGCTTGTGATATTTGTATTTCGTACACGTCGGCTTGAGAAGCCTTTTGATCAAGATGTGTGTTTATATGTATGTTATGTCGACAACGAGGATGTCGGCAATCTGGCAGACTACGTTCCTTGACCTGTAGTTCGTACATTTTGTTTGTGTCGGCTTGTGAAGCCCTTTGTTAAAATGTAAGATGTAATTTGTACCTTGCTTCATTTGTGATTAAGTTGTAACCCATATGAAGATGGTTGCTATTTCATTTGACTTATGCACAGCTCTTATGGACTAATCTGATTTGTATGTATCGCTCCCGTACTTGTGAGCCCCATATATTTATACTCTGTTGTGTGTGAATTTTGAAAGCAGGCCTTCGGTAATCTTGGATTACTGGCCATCACAGCACCAAACTACTAGGGGCGGTTTGGGGTCGTGACAGAATGGTATCAGAGCACAAGTTCCTTAGTATACGTTATTCACACACTTTGAGTCCTAAAGAGCATAGGATTTCCCTTTAGAAGGATGTTAGGATTGCATCATATTGCTTGCTATGTGGACAAGGTGTGCATCATCTCGGCATGCTTAACTGTTACTTGCCTGCGTGTTTATTTGTTTATTTTGTTTTAAAGTTGCACTTTGCATACTCATAGCATCATGAAGAGAGGTAGACCTCCAGTTGGCCGAGATCAGTCCGAGGACAGATTAGACAGATTGGAGAGATTAGTTGAAGGTTTGGCCCGCGAGTTAAGGCAGACCAGACAGCAGTACGCTAGTGTTACTTCGACTCAGGCCGAGCAGACAAACGGCCGAAATGTAGTTCCGCCTCCACCCCCCTCCTCCAGTACCACAAGTGCCCCCACAGCCAACTTTATATGGGGACGGCATGATAGCTTTGATCAGAGAGTTCAAGAAAATGAAGCCACCAAGATTCCAAGGGGGTGAAGAGCCGATGAAAGCCGAAGCGTGGGTTTTGGAAATAGAGAAGCTGTTCGAGATCTTTCCCAGCACCGACACCCAGAAGGTGACATTAACAGCTTTTACACTAGATGACGATGCCCGCAGATGGTGGATGATGGTTCGAGAAAGCAATCCAGACTTGACCTGGACCCGATTTTTGGAATTGTTTTACACCAAGAATTTTCCCTTAAGTGTTCAAAATTGCAAGGCTACCGAGTTTCAGACCTTGACGCAAGGCAGTAGAACAGTAGCTGAATATGACCGTGTCTTTACCGAGTTGGCGATGTATGCACCCCACATGGTCAATGATGAATACATGAAGGCTAGGAAGTTTGAAAGTGGGCTGCGTGGACCGATTCAAGACCGAGTTAATATGCTTAACATGCCGACTTACGCCGGAGTATTGGACAAAGCCATTCTGGCCGAAGCTAACTTGAACAGATACCGAAGTTCGGGAGAGAGCCAGAGGAAGAGACAGAATCATGACAATCGCCGAGCACAGTTTGGTACCAAGAAGAAAGCGAATGTTGACAGTTCTAGCAACCCAAGATAGGAAAGTGGTGCTAAGCCGACATGTTCCAGTTGTGGGAAGCCACATTTCAAAGTCTGTCATCGGGCGTCCGGAGCTTGTTACGAATGTGGTGAAATAGGTCATTTTGTGAGGGACTGTCCAAAGACAAGGGCTGATGAAGGTAAGCAGGATGAGAATACCTCGGGTTCCGTACAGAAGGGTAAAGTTAGGAAAGGACCGATGAGGCAAGGCAGAGTTTTTGCACTGGTACCAGGAGACACCCAGAATGCTGAGACAGTGGTGTCAGGTATACTCCCAATTTGTTCTCAAAAT